TGTTTAGAAGTTTTGATTTAATCAAATTGAATTTTGAACTTGAATAAGCAGTGGAGTGAATACTTTCATTTAAAGGAATTCAATCCATTGAGTCGATTTTAATTTTTTCTTTTATTTTTATTTTTGTTGAGACTTGCTACTTGCTGTAAGCATTTTTGTGATTGGGCTAGACTAGGGGGCTGGTTTTTATGATTATATTGGAGTTTCTTTTGGTTTTGGTAATTTAGTATCAAGTGTTGAGTTGGTAGTATTTTTGTGGTCAGGTTAGATGCTCTGTTTTTATGGCTTTGATTGTAGTTGGGTTGTTTTCATAGTTGGGAGTTTTTATGTTGTTTTTATTAGTGAGATGTTGGGTGATCTATTGGATGGTTTTATTTTCTAAATTTTTTCTTTCTTTCATTTCTCTCGATCACAACTTGGTTCTGTATATGTTAATTTTACCATTTATTGAAGTGTAGTGTTAAATTGATTAAAATAATTATAATCTACTAAACTGACTACAGGGAAAATATATTCTCGTTTGACATTTTGTTATCCCGCTGCCTCTTCTCGTGCTCTGTTCAATGTAAAATAACCATTCATGTTTTTGATTTTATCAGAAGAAGCAACCAAAGAAACAACAGCTCTCAATGATTCATGCCCTTATCAGTGTGAAGAAGGAATTGCGAGAAGTTCTAGATGTTCTAGGATTGCTATCCTCTTCTACTTCCTCTGAAGTAAATATAATCTGTCTTGGTGTTTTATTTATTTTTCTCCTTTTATTTATCTTGACACTTTTATTGTCTTGGTCCCTCACATGTCAATAGACTTTGATTTTTGAAACTTCAAACCTATTTATTTTTAATCTTGCAGGCAAACATTTCTTGTTTCTTGTTTTCTGAAATTTGAAATTAAAATTTTAAAATTTTATACAAAAATTAGTTTTTTTTTTTATAAATAAAATTATAACCCAAAGCTGCATTTTTTTTAGTCAAGAATGATAAATTTTACTGTTATTTATGTTTTTGGGAAAAGAAAACTGAAATAGGAATAAGAAATAAGAGATTGGACCTTGTTGTTTCTAAAACTTATTAACAGTTACCAAATGCTATCGTTTCTAAAAATTAGAAACAAGAAACAAGACTGTTATTTATCAACTCTGAATTTGTTTATGTAAGTTAAGAGATCAAATGAAAAATTCAAAGCATTGGGATCATAAGAGAACAAACCTTCTGTCTTCTCTACATAAATAAATAAATGAATGAATAAAAGAACGAGATGAAGGTTTGTATATTATAGGCTGGAATTCAACTAGTTGAACATGCATTGCATTTCTGATGTGAGGTGTTTTCCCTGTAGGTTTTGCAGCAGTTGAAAGACAAAGCAGTTAAGAGAGCAGGCCTGGTGGAAGATGATATACTGAAATTGATCGACGATAGAACACAAGCAAGGAAAAACAAAGATTTTGCGAGAAGTGACCAAATCCGAGCCGAGCTATCTGCCTTGGGCATAGCTCTCATGGATGTTGGCAAAGAGACCGTCTGGAGACCGTGTGTTCCTGTAGAACTGGCACCACCGCCTCCTCCGTCTGAACAGAACAAGTCTACTCCATTGGCCGAGAAAAAACCAACAGAGCAGCAGGTTGCTCAGCCACCAGCAGTTGAACAGAACAAGGCAGCTCAAGAACAAGCAGTACAGGATGCTCAGCCACATGAGGAAAATAAGGCGACCGTGCCCGTCTGATGTTGCATCCGATTTGTTGAGGAGAGGGATGAAGGATGAGATTTACATTACATTGTTGGCCAGTTGTAAACACAAGTTGGCCCTTAATATAGAAACCTGAAGGATTTTGGAAGAGCATGTGTAGCATACAGGTATGAACTCTAGTTCCATATACTTTAATTTTTGTGAACTGTGATACCGAGAGAAATTATTATCTTATACGGCTGTTTTGGGGACCAAAAATTAATCCCAGCTGACTGCCTGTTGGGTTTTTCATTTGAAATATTTGATTATGAACCAAGGAGACTGGATTGCTCAATCACCGTCATTTTCTTTATGGTTGAGTGTTTTATCAAATCTTAAGGACGAGAATGAGCAACACACAAATTTGAGCAAAGGAAATACACCTGATTTACACTGATTTAATGAGAATTGCACACTAGTGTGATGCTTACATCAAGTTTAAGAGGTAAACTGTACATGCTAAGAGTTTGAGAGTGAGGTTTGAGTTGCCTTCAGTGGAGTTTTTCACAAAGGATGACCTAGGTTTTTGCTTCCCTCTTAACTTCATCTTGTAAAAGGTTGAATCAAGCATTTTTTTGGCTTGGACTGTTGGCGTGCGATGCACTCACATGTGCTTAACCCACCTCTACTTGACTAGGTCGGATGAGGTAGAATTTTGGGCCTTTTGGTGCAGTAACTTCTCTATTTTTGCTCGAAATAGCTGAGGTCCTGTGTAGCCTTAGTTTTTCTCCTAGTAGTCCTCTACCCTTTTGAGTTTGATCCAATTGTCTAACTTTATCGCTAACATTAAGTTTATGCTCCAAGTTGAGGTTTGTAGTTTAGTTCTTCGGAAATTTAGAGCCTACCTTGGTATTAAATACTATTTGTGAATCTAATACAAGGTGATCCTTGTACTTTCTTGGGGTTTTTCCTTGGAGTGACACACTTGAAGTATGATGTTTTGACTTTCCTAAACTTGGAATAAAAGTTCGTAGTTTGTGAATTATGGTCTTACGGAATTAAATATTCACCCTGAATGTTTGGACGGCTAGAATCTAACCAAACACCTATTTGAGATTCAATTAAGCAGAGTTTTTCATTCGTTATGATTGGTTAAGCTTTATTAAGCATACTTAGTGATGTTCAATGGGATCCATCGTGAATTTTGTAAGATTTTCTAGGTTTTCAAGATTAGTCAATCAAGCTTTCGAGGTTAATCAATATTTCGGGCTACTTCCTTCGCACTTAATTGCAGTTTTCATGTTAATATTGGATTCATATTTGAGCTCTAATTCACATTGGAGAATAAATGTTTCACTCGCGTAACAATTTAGAAATATAAAGAAAGTTCCGGTAGGTCTTTAAATTACTTGCTTCAGTTCTTTCAATTACTCTATGAATTGAACGTAAGGATGGGAGACAGCTTAGACAATTCTCTACGTTCAAATACAACTTTGGAAAAATATTTTTCAAAATAATATATTTGAAGGGAGCAAGTAACATATTAGAATATAATATTTTTAATATATATTTATTTATATTTTTTTCAAAGAGCAGAGAGATTAGGGTGGAAGTGGTTTTTTGTAATTGTTACAAAAGAAATTCATTAAAATAAAATGAAAATGAACACAAGCTTGGATATAAAAATAGTTTTATTGCTGCAAATAATACTAAATTATTTTTCTAACTTTTACACATTGTCTGTCCTTATCAATTTCTATATTTATTATAAAAAATATACATTTAGATCAATTCCAAAATTTGTATTTTGTATAATTTAATATTTATTTTTTCAACATTTTAAAATTAATCTGATATTTTTTATTAAAAATATATTTAAAATTTTAAAAATTAAATATATTTTTCGTTCTTTATTTTATTTTATGTATTTCTCTCTTCTTTCTCCCCTTCTATGGGTTGGCTCCGCCGCCGTGTGTGTGTTTTTTTCTTCTTATTTCATCTCCTTCAATTCTTCCTTTCTTTTTACAAGTTTGGAAACAATTATGAATCAAATGAGTCAAAAGCATTTTTTTTTTAAACAAAATTGATTTAAAGAAAATTGATGGCATAGATCAAAATGTTACCAAATGTCAACTTCAACCATTAAAATGTCTAACTAATGTTTAAACCTCTAAAGTATACTCTACTCTTACTCACCAAAAATGTTTTAATTTTGAAGTTATACGGTTGTTTAAATTATTTCAACATATTACAATTCATCCCACGTTAAAGAAAAAATGAAGCTTCAATTATTTTTGGATGGTTATAAACTTAAGGATGATAATCTAGAGTTATGATGTTAATGTATTTTTAGGCTTTTATTTATTTTAACATTTGTATATGGACTAATTATGGTCATAAAGTATAAATGTTACAACTCTTAAAATGCTTCATTCAAGTCAAGGGTTTTCATTTTGAAGCTATATAAACCATGTATGTTATATTTGTAAAGGAGATTAGAAAAATGTAGTAAAAAAGTGTTCTTACCTTTCCTTTAGTTAAGGCTTAAGTTTCTTTGCAATTCTATGTAGTTAGATTGCATGTTTAGAATCATTCAAGCTTGACATGATCGATCTTGCTTGTGGAGTGATTCGAATATTAAAAAAGTGTTTTTTCCTTGAGATATTTGAACAAGGTAATCTGAATCTTACTTTCCCTTGAGGTGATTCCTTATCATTTGACATGAGAGTCATGCCCTTAATTTAGCCATGCCAATAGAATCCTCAAATGTTTAACAAAAAAGTTATGAGTTTCGAAGGTGTATTTTGTTCGAGGGTTCAGAGAATAAGGCTTAAGGAGAGGCTCTATGATATACTTTGTTTGAGAGGAGGATTGTTGAAGATTATTGAGAAGAATAGTCGGACATTGACTAATTAAGAAGAACATCATAGACAAGTATGGAAACATATCTCCATTGATATGAGACATTTTGAGAAATAAAAAATAAAGTTATTAGAGTTTATGCTCAAAATGAAAAATATCATACCACCGTGGAGTGGAATTTCTAACATTGTACTTTATTCTTCGTTGAAAATGATAACTAAAAAAAAAAAATAATAATAACCGGGTAAAGAAATTATAACTGAACCGCAACGACCTGACCCGAATCAGGTCGGTTTAGTATTCAGTCCAGCCAAAACCGGATCGAATCAAAGCGTACACCCGTCGGTGTTGGATGGAAGAGAATTTTCTTGATTGCCTGCATTCGAATTTCGGATCTTGGAAAGCTCCGTGTCCGACGAACAAAATTCCTCCGATCACAAATTCGGCTTCTAGGTATTTACACTGATCCATTTCACCTCACCCTCCTTTTTGTCGCCGGATCTCGATTCCTAGCTTCAATCCCTTCTCTTCTACTCCTGATTTTCACTAACAAACTTTGAATTTCAGTGCTACGCTGGCTCCCAACTGTTACCCTAAACCCCATTGTTCGATTTCTGAGTTGTACATTCTCAATCTCATGCCTTTTAGTTTCGTTCCCTTGTTGTTGTTGTTGTTGTTGTTGTTGTTTTTTCCTTTTATTCTTTTGCTTCTGCCGATCTCGCTGTGAATTGGAGATTTGACCCCAGTTGGGATAACACTCCCCGCCCCTGATCCCGCGTAATTTTATGGGGATTTTCTGTTCAAACTTTTCATTTCTGGTTCAAATATTTTTCGTGTTTTGTTAATTAAGATTAGCAGTATAATTGTTTATAATTCTTTTCGTAGCTACATCTCGTAAATGGCTGGAAAAGCTCAAATCCCCACCAAAAATTCAGCGCTTATTTCTATGATTGCTGATGAGGTACCAATTCATTTCCATATTGCAACAGCTTTTCTTTCTGGGTACCTTAAACTATTAAATTGACTCGAATTTCACTAGAGTCAATATTCCGTACTTATTTGATCCTATTGTTATGTGATTTTGGTGTTTGATTTTCTTTTTACAGATAAACATGTGATCTTATTTTGTGTCGTATGTGGTTCAAGTACCTTGCAAACCCGAATCTTAACAGGGTTCTACTTGTATGTGTGTCTAAGCAAATCTGCTAGTTAATCACGTTTACATAAAGTAGTTAGTCTTGAACCCAACAGTAAAATCTTTAGTATTAGTTTTTCTATGAAACTGTCAACTTTGATAGATAAACATCCACTATTTAATTTTTTTCTTCTGTAATTTTATGTTTATTCTTCAGTTAATTGCAAATTTGAAGGAAAAATAAAGCATCTGGATAATATTATTAAAAAAAACAAAAAGGAAAAACATCTACATAATGATAATGATTGGGTTCCAGCTTATTCTGTTGTGTTTTGTATCTTGAACTATGCATGGATTTTGGTTATACGTTTAATCTGAAATTTCTTTATAATAGGATACGGTGGTTGGATTTCTTCTTGCTGGAGTTGGTAATGTTGACCTGCGAAGAAAAACTAATTACCTTATAGTGGACTCTAGTAAGTATCCCTCTGATGCAAATATCTTGCAACTCTGATTTTCCATTTCGCTTGTAGCTTTGCATCCTATTTAGTTAGGCTCACACTTCATGTCTAAATCGTGTGAAACTTGCTGAAATCCTTGTTATTTAAGATAGTCCATTTTGAAAGTTAGCTTTTCACAAAAATTCCCAGTGATATATATGATATTCTAAATTAGCTCCAAAACTTGTAGTATTCCACTTTGAAACTTAGTTTTGACACATTTAAGGATTTGGTCTAAACCAAGATGAAAATTTGTTTTCCCTCCAATTTATGTTTTATCATTGCAGAATTTCCTGAAAAAATCATCAGAGCTAAGATGGAATTTGGTAAACAGCGAATACTTTCCCCTAAGTAGTAATTTTGTTTCCCAATCTGACCTATAAGAATATTAAATGGCTATAACAAATCTGTGTGTAAAATCAAATTAACAAAATATGGTTATATTTTATTATTAAGTCAAGTGTCTCAATCTTTGTTCATGATAGAATTTTGTTATTATGATATATAAAAATTGTGGTCAGGTGGGACACTCAACTGTGATTGAAGTAGTTGTGATAAGTCAATCCTAATTCTCAGCCCAACGATCCAAGCTTTTGTTGAAGTTAGACTCTTGAATCAAAGAAATTAATACCTTCTTATACAAAATTCGGATCAACCAAGAAACAAAAATCGAATTAGATTACCTCTTAAGATCAAAGATCTAGATGCAAGATTTGAAACTTTGCTCTAAATTGAGTCGTTCCACCATGGAATTTGATCGAGACTTGATTTCAAGACTTGATTGAATGAATTGAATGCAATCTACCCTAAGAATGGCTTGAAATCTTAGAAATGGCAAAAATGATGCTCAAATTTTTTAGGGTGAAAGTCTCAATTTGATATCTCATTTCATTCATTTAAAATCTTATAATCTTGTTTTTACATGCCATTTTGTGGGTATCTATAGCCTCTCCACAAAAGAAACTCCCAATCCTTCGCATGGCCACTAAAAGAAGTGAGTGGCCATGATTGACAAGTTCTTCCTTCTACCCTTCAAATGCCCACTAAAAAGAGTTATGAAATTAAAATAATAAATAAAGTCTACAAGGAAATTATTGATCAAGTGCTATTTAAGATAACCCTATGTTCCACTTCAACCTTGCAAATCTTAACTTCCAAAGCTCCAAATGGTCTTGTAGATGAAGAAGGAACGCTTATTGAATCTTCTTGGCCTTGGATCGTAGGTCCAGTTGAAGCTTGTTGAATACCATGATTCTTATCAAGTTGTCTCAGTCCCTTGATATAAATAAGATAATTTGATGACATAGCTTTCATTTTCATGTTTATGACATAGCTGCTTCATGTTCATGTCCTGGGCTGCTATAGATATGTACATTAGCATTGGCAGTGTTTAATTTTTTTAGTTAAAAATTTATTTGAAAAATAATTATTCACTGAGTAGGCCAAAAGATTAAAGGGACAAACTATCAAGAGGTTTTGGTTTATTATTATTATTGTTTAATTATCATCATCTCCATTCATTTAGATTTAAAAAAATAAAAAAAATTAATTGAAACAAATGTATAAGGGAAGGGCCTTTTGTGTTTCTTTTTTTGGGTTTCTGAGATGGTGTCTCCTCTATGCAATAAAGATCTAGAGTCGGAAGTTCAGCTTTTCCTTCATTGCTCCTATGCTGAAATTTTTTGGAATTATATTCTTTCCACGTTCAATTGGTTGTGGTCCACCCTTGGACATCAACATTCTATTACCAACAATTTTGGTAGGGCTACTTTCATGAGCGAAAAGAAGGGCCTTTGGCTTCAATTCACTAATGTTTTCTGGATTCTATGGCTTGAAAGGAATGATAGAATCTTCATCAATAAAGAGAAGTCCTTAGATCATTTCTTAAATTCTCTATCATTTGCGACACTTTCTTTGTGTGAACTTGTTTCTCCTTTTCCCCATTGGAAATAAATGTTTGCAGTCTTCTTTGGCTAGGGACTAGGGACTAGGGACTTCGCTTTCCTCTTTTATTTTTTATTTTATTTTATTTATTTATTTTGTTATACCATACCTTCTTGTTTCTTATTAAAAAGAAAAAAAAAATATTCTGCATGAGATATGTGTGTGTGTGATCTAGAATCCAGATTGACCGGCCTAGCACTAGAATCTAGCTCGCATTATACAAAGACCTGCAGTAGTAAATCATCTTTTTGTAGTATGGATAACTGTTTTTAATATTTGCAAATGAAGTGTATTTAAAATGTTTTCATGTGTAATGTACTGATGTCTCTATGACAACTTTTGGTTTGAAGCCACGTGGTTGTAGCTAAATAGCAGTGACCGATGGTGCTGTGATTAAACCAAAAACAAAAATTTCACTACTTGATAGGAATCTGTTCATCTTATTCCATGGGTTTACAGAGCCATTTTGTGTGATGATAGTGTTTTCCATTTATTAAATATGCACTTTGACTTGTCTTTCTATCCTCTTGTTATGTCTCTAAAGTTTAACTCTAACGTCGTAGAGACAACTGTGAAACAAATTGAAGATGCTTTCAAAGAGTTTACAACAAGGGAGGATATTGCAATAGTGATGATTAGTCAATATGTAAGTTGTTTTCTGAATTCCCTTTCTATCCAATGTAAGTTGACTTGTTTTATTGTGACTAAAAGTTTGAGAGTGATTTTGGAATGGTCAAAACCACTTTTGTCACGCCCAAAATCACATGACAAAAGTGATTTTGGTCTAAAATTACTCCTAACACTCCGTTATTGGTTGACTAGTTGCCTTTTCCTTGAACAAAAAATCCTATGAAACCCCTCCCTCCTGTTTTATGGATTAATGCCTATTTAGTGTTCCTATATGTTTACACCTTTTTATTTCTCTGTGGCCATTAGGAACATCTGTTTTGGTTAAAGTTTTCAATATTTGTTTCATCAAACTGAAACAATTTGTTTTTTTTTTTTTGGAATTTCAGGTTGCAAACATGATCAGGTTTCTGGTAGATAGCTATAACAAGCCAATTCCTGCAATATTGGAGATTCCTTCCAAGGATCACCCATATGACCCGGCACACGATTCAATTCTTTCCCGAGTAAAGAATCTGTTTTCTACTGAATCGGTGGCATCTGGGAGGCGTTAAAAAGATATTACATCTTATGCCCCCACTCATTCTGAAGTCATCCTCCTTTCTTCAAACATGCTGCACTTGGTTGGTGTACCCTGCTTTCTTCTGCATTAGAATTTCATATTTTGTAATGATTCTATTCATATTTTGATCACTTGAATAAAACTTGAAGAAACATGGAGCTAGAGGAGCTCCTCGTGGGTATTCAAGCAACCCCATTGTTTTTCTTGTACCTTATTCCGTATCATTTAAAACTGGAACCTAGAGGCATTACATCTACATGTATCTAAAACCATTTGCCTCTATATATTTTTTTTTTTGGCGTTTAAATCCAGTCCATTTCACAGTTTCATATTATATAATATTCCACGACTGTGACAAGGGTATTTTTACTCAATTCACAGGTTCTATTTTTAAGGCGTTCTATTACTTCAAAGCCTTTTCTTATTATGTTCATCTATCTATATTTCTGCATTAACTATTTCTGAGCATTCTCATCCCTACTGCCAAGAGTAGTTTGCTCTTTTGGGAAAGCAGTGTAAAAGGTTCAGAGGGAAACTTGTGATGTCATGGCAAAAGGTATTAAGATATTTGGAAGAAAATTTTCAAAAATTCTTTTCCTGAAGATTCTATTTGGAAGTTACATTTCCTTGAGACTCAATTGTTTGAGCTTATGAAAAATATTAGAGTTAATGATCAAATTGAATATCCACTTGTATTTCTAACAATTTTGTTGACGGGTTAAAAATTTTAAATATAGAAACCAAAGAAGATTGTTGAAGTCTTGAGGGATCTCATTGGTGCCCCATGGCTCACATTTATGACACAAGTCATGCTCATGCTCATGCTCATGAGGATGCCTCCTACAATGATATGAGCTTGTAGATGTTGAGTTTGATGCGAATCATTATTTCTAAAGGTGTGGAAACCTCTTGTATGGAAACCTCTTATAGTGGACACATTTTAAAAATTTTGAAGGGAAGAGGACAATATTTGCAAACTTTGAGGAAGGCAAAAAGGACAATATTTGCTGTGGTGGGCTTGGACAATTACAAATGATATTAGAGTCGGACTCAGGGTAGTGTGCCAACGAAGATGCTGGATTTCGAAGGAGGTGAATTGTGAGATCCTATATCGGTTGGAGAAGGGAATGAAACATTCTTTCAGAGTTTAGAAACCTCTCTTTAGCAGACACACTTTAAAAATGTTGGGGGAATCTCAAAAAAGAAAAAGTTTAAAGAAGACAATATCGGCTAACGGCGGGCTTGAGTTGTTATAAGATATGTATTAGTATGCTTAGTCTAACTAATCCACGCAAAAAACTCGAACTGACGTGTTGTATACCAAGTGAGGGACAATGAGTATTCATGACTGTCGAGTTGTGTGCTACTTTAGGCTGTCAGATAGTTTAGTAGACCGTTCATATTTAACCAAGAAGTGTCTTACATAAGAGTTCAAAATTAGTAGTAAGCATAAATAAAGTCAAGCGATAAAATTTAAAGTTAGCCAAAATATCTTATTATAGATGGAAAAATCCTAGTTGATGAGACCAAGACCCTGTAATAGTTGGACGGAGGACTCAATTCAAACGAAAAACCTATAAAAAGTGTTACAGTTAATTGAGTTTTTTTTTTTTTTTTTTTTTTTTTTTTTTTTTTTTTTTTTTTTTTTTTTTTTTTTTTTTTTTT